CGCCGCCGCCGCCGGGAGGAGGTGCCCGCCAGCTCGCTCGCGGCGCGCGCCGGCCGCCAGCCTCGGCCTGTGGGCGATCTTCGGCCCCGGCTCCCCGTCCGAGGAGGAAGATGCAGACCTTTCTGAAAGGGAAGCGAGTTGGCTACTGGCTGAGCGAGAAGAAAATAAAAAAACTGAATTTCCAGGCCTTCGCCGAGCTGTGCAGGTAAGGGGGACGGGGCTCCGGCGCCCGGGGACCCCGGCTCAGCCCCGCGGTGGTTTCGAGCCGACGGAAAGACGTGGTGCTCGGGGATCTGGAGCCAAGGTGACCAGTTGGCTGTGGTGGCCGGCGGCTGTGTTCCAGGGAAGCGGTGGTCAGTGTGGGCGATGTGGCATGGACCGGGGCTTCCAGGTGCACGGAGACCCGGGTCGGGAGGCCCCCAGGTGCCCAGGGCTCGCTGTGCGCGTTGCAGAGGTTAGCAGAAGGGCCTCGGAAGTGGGGGACTCCGCGGGGTTTGCCAGTGGCTTTAGGTTACTTTCGGACTGGACTGGCTTTCGTTCCTTGTGCTCTCCCCAATCTGTGTTGACCACCTACTATGTGCCCTGCTTGTGTTCGGTCCATGAAGCTGTCATTTGGTGCCCCTGGGTTAAGCCTAATTAAAACGAGTAGCGATACTTGGCATTGGTGTGGTGATTTGCTGTCTCATTAACGCCTGGCAGCCGCCTTGCAAATTGCTCGGGTGGTTAAGGGGGCCACGTGTTAGAGAAGGGGGACCAGGAGGTGGTGATACACCCTCGTCCCAGGCCAGGGAGTGTTCTCACCGAGGTACCCAGTCAATGAGTGTGGTACGGAATGGCCTTCCACCATCTGGGCTGCTCTGGTCCCCCATGCTGGTGCTTTGTGATGTTTAATAAGAGCGTATTCCTCATAAATGATACAGGTTTCATCTTGGGTCAGGTATGCCTCACCTTGTTCTATTTCAACGGCATTGCCTTCAAAGCCCTGGGTTGAATACTGTTCCAAATAAAAGTCTAATAGAATCCGCTCGGGAAGCCTTTTTTGCTGAGTCTCCACTGGGTAGATATGATTTTCAAACATGGGTTCCGCATGCATGTTTGGCCCTGATGGGTCCCCAGACCTCCTGGAGGCTTGAACAGTTGGGTTGCTTATCCCCTTAGTGTGAGAGAGTGCGGATCTCAGGCAGTCTGTGTAGGCAGGCGGAGCTCCCAAGGCCCTGGTGTTGAACCCCCAGGTCTGGGCAATATGTCAGCTGCCTTTTCCAAGACTGGCTTTGCCTGAGCAATCCAGCTTTTCATGGGCCAGGGGCTTCCAGAGCATCTCTGGGATTCACAAGGAGATAAGGAGGAGCTCATCCAGAGCTTTGAAAATGGATTCCTTGAACATTGCATCCCAGATAAATGCACTTGTGGAAAAGGTACCTGAAGACCCTGAAAAGAACCCCCGGTGGTGCAGTGGTAAAGCGCTCGATTGCTAACCAGAATGCTGCTGGTTCAAATCCACCAGCTGCTCCCATAAAGATTATAGCTTTGGAAACCCTGTGGGGCAGTTCAACTCTATCCCATAGGGTTCCAAGGGTAGAAGTCAACTCCAGACAACAGTGGGATTTAGGACCTTGAAATTTGGTGAAGCCCCCCAGCCAAGCATGATTCCTCCCTGATGTGAGGTACTAGAGCTCCCTCTGCAGTCATGCAATACTTGGAGAACTCCAGTTAATACCTTACACTCTAAGTGGATGTCTCTCTGTATTTGTGTCATCCTGGGTTCCTAGCTTAAAGCATGAGCTTGTCATCAGGTTGGTATGTTTTGCTCTGTAATTAGGAGCCTAGCAAAACAGTCTTCGCCTAGACTCGCAGCAAGATCCTCACGCTGGGCCTGCAGCTCTGCTTTCCTTCCTCCTAGATCCCCTGGCTATACAAGGGGGAGGGTCTCAGCAGGCTGTGATGTCAGCGCTGCTGGGTGAAAGCAGGAGCAAAGCATTCATTTATCTGAAAGGGTTGTTGCACACAAAGTCCCCTTGGACTCTTCTGCCCAAAATAATGACTTCAAAGAGAATGCAGAGAGCATCTGGGCCATTCTAGAACTGTAGGAAGCCCACTTTGTGTTTTCATTAGGGAACCTAGAGACGCCTTGTCACTTAAGCTTAGGAATGAAGAGAAAACGAAAAAAAAAAAATAATAAAGAGCCTTTCCTCTTTTTCTTTCTTACTTTCAGGACAGCACCCTCTGGTGGCTACATTTCTAGACCGAGTGCAAACTGCCTTTTGGCAATGTTTAGTTTGGTACCAATGTGGGTGGGATTTCAGAGGTCCAGGATACTATCTTGATGGATATTGGCATGTTTTGGACATTGCCGATCTGGGAGTCTAGCACTCATATTAATGGATGAAGAATGACCTTTGAATTTCCTAATGAAAAAATCCAGATATGTTTGAAACGGACAGACTTGAGGCTCTGCTCTGAATGTTTGGGGCAGTGTCAGCCTGAGAGGATGACTGAGTGGACCGGGGTGCGTTGTTTAGTTGAATGTCAAGTCCTGTAATAACCTCAGAGCAGGAAGGGATGTTGGAGATTGTCTCTTCAGCCCCGTTGTTTGTACAGATGGAGGAGCAGGCAGGAGAAGGGCGGGCTCCAAACTTAGACTTCTTTTGTTTAACTTCTAGAATGCTTCCACCCTTGAGACCCTCCCAGAGAGCAAACCCTTTCTCCTTGGGACTCCATCCTTTCCTAGTGGTCCAGTTGCTACCATATTGTCCCCACGGACACTTGCCTTGCCAGGCTGAGCCACGATCTGAGAGTCTTGTCTGTATCTTTATCTGGAAGTGGGTGTTGTTTATCATGGCATTACTGAGTGGTTGGAGCCCTGGGAAGTACCCTTTGCTGCCAGGACTCCTTGGGGAGACACATTGGGTACCTTCCTTGAACATGAGCCCTTAGTACATCGTGCCTCCTGGTTAGGCAACAGATGGGCCCCTGAGTCAGTGTGTTTTCTTGGCCCTATTTGTTCCTCTGGCCATCTTTGGTTTCTTCCCTTTTCCACAGAGGATGGGACATTGGTTGCATGTCTTATCTTTCCCATCATCCTTCCTCTTCCCCCAGCCCTGGAGCCCCTTTAGTTACTTCATGTCATCTTTGTTGTGGTTTCATTTCAGGTTACCCACAAGGGTATTAAGGGAGAAGCAAAGAAATCAAGCTGTTAGTTGGAAAAGCTGGGTGATTTTCCTTTTCAGTGTCCCAGTTGGGAATGCTGACTGACCTCTTCAGTCCTCTGACAGATGTCTTCTGTGTGCCCCAACTCCTTTGTGTACCCCCTCTGCTCTTTTCCTGTGGCTGAATGTGTGGTGAAAAGGTGCTCTACTTCGTGACTCGTTTTGGTACAAAATTCAGGTGAACCTCAATGATCTCACTAGAGTGGGCACCACCCAATGCTGTAACGCAAGGTGCCGCCCCTTCCCCCAAGCACCTCCTCCCATACTTGACCTCACAGAATACTTAGTAGTGTTTGTGGTCAATGGTAATCATAGAATAATATTGCAATATAGTTGTAAATTGCTTAAATGTAGAATTTCTGAGATTAACAGAATCCTAGCGAATCGTAAAATTATAAAATGATGAAATCTTTCTACACTGACTTTTGCAACGTTATTAGTTACACTATTAGAACTAAGCAGAAATCTTCTTAAGTTGTTCCCCTTTTCCTTTAATTACTACTTTCATTCTCAAGGAAGTTAATCAGGTAGATTCACAAATACCTACCACAGTATTGTAGCTGAAACACCAGAAATTTGACAAAATCAGTGACTTTAAAAACACCATTGTCAGTGAAAACAGAAGCTGTGCTCCTTGTGTGTGTGATTTGAAGCAAGTGTCATTGTGATTGGGTAATGATGACAAGCTCAAACCGGAGCACATCAGAAGGCTCAAAAATAAATTGCTGCTGTTCTTATTAGGTGCCCTTGAGTTGGTACCAATTCATAACAACCCTATACGTAATAGAATGAAACACTGCCCGGTCCTGGGCCAACCTCACAGCCCATGACTGCTGCCACTGTGCCACTCCACTCCATCTTGTTGGGGGTCTTCCTCTTTTACTCCGTCCCTCCACTTTACCAAACATGATATCCTTCTCCAGGGACTGGTCCCTCCTGATAATATGTTCGAAGTATAAGAGATGAAGTCTGACCATCCTGGCTTCCAAGGAGCACTCTGGCTGTCCTTCTTCCAACACAGATTGGTTTGTTCTTCTGGCAGTACTCTCCTCCAACACCGTAACTCAAATTCATCAATTCTTCTACAGTCTTACTTATTCACTGTCCAGCTTTCTCACACATATGAGATTCTTAATAATACCATGGCTTGGGTCAGACACACCTCAGTCCTCAAACTGACATCTTTGCTCTTAAACGCTTTAAAGATAAAAAAGTAAATTGGCATCAAGTTTAGCCTTGTAGGTGTTTTGATACATGTAAGGTAAAATTATGGAGAAATGTTTTTGTTATTGTAACTAACAGTAAACAGAGATAATTTTATAAAAAATAATTTGTGCTGAAGCAGTGCACAAAAGTGTAACAGGCAGGCATTTTTCGTCACTGATTTTGACAGTGTCACATGGTATGGACCAGAGTGAAGCCACTTGTGGACCTCTGTCTTTATTGTTTGTTAAATGCCGCTGAGTCAGTTCTGACTCATGGCGATCCTGTATACGGTTTCAGAGGCTTTTAAAAATCTTTGTGGGAGCAGAAAAGCATCTTTTCTCATGCAGAGCAGTTCATGGGCTCAAACCGTTGACTTGTGGTTCCCAGTCCAGTACTTGTCCAGTGGAGCTACCACACTCCCTTTTACTATTTTATTGTTATTAAGTGCCGTTGAGCCGTTTCTGACACATAGCGACCCTGTATAGGGTTCCAAGAGCGGCTGGTGAGTTTGAGCCACTGACCTTGTGGTCCAGTGCTTATCCTATAGTGTAGTTGATATGTTGTTGTTAATGAAACCTTTCTAGATACACATTTAATCTTCTGGGATGCAGGAATGGGGAAACTGAGGCTAGAGGGGCTGGTGTAAGGGACTTATCTAAGGATACAATCAGTATGAAGGCTTCCCAAGCCTGGTCCCAAGACCACCTCACCTGAGCACCGGGTTTCCATGTTTGTTGAATGTTCTGTGCCCAGCTCTGCTGGGAATTTCCGGAGGCCCCAATGACAGAATGTC